GTGTACGCAGGCGCTGTAGTGTACACGCGCTCTAGTGTACACGCGCGCTGTGGTGCACGCGAGCATTGTGGTGTGCACAGGCGCTGTGGGGCAGATCGCCGACGACATGCTGCTCGCGTCGTCGTCGTCGTCGGCGTCGTCGTCGTCGCTCGTCGCTCGTCGTTCGTCGCTCATCGTCGCCGTGCGCGGGGGCGCGGCTGTGGTGCGGAACCACGCGGCGGGGGGGGGGGGCGTTACGTCATACCCCCCACCCCCGCTCTCCCCCCCTATGACGCTCGTCATCGCCGAAAATAGAAACCGTCCCAAGACGGCCCAAGAGGCCTCCGAGAAGGTCCGCCTAAGACGGCCCTATAGGCCCGCAAGAGGCCTCCAAGACGGCCCAAGAGCCCTCCAAGACGTCCTCCAGGAAGGCCCGACAGGGTTAAAATCATTTATTTTCATACGGATTTTGAAGTATTTTGGCTTTTGCTCCTTTTCGGCTCTCCGACAGCCCAAGACGCCCAAGCGGCCCCAAACATCGACCCAAGAGCGCCCAAGAGACCTCCAAGATGGCCCCATGGCAGCCCAAGAGGCCCCCAAGAGGGCCCCCCAAAGGCCCCAAGACGGCCCAAGATAGCCTCCAAGACGCCAAGATGGCTTCCAAGATGTCTCCAAGACGGCCAAGATGGCCTCCAAGACGACCAAGATGGCCCCAAGATGCACCCACAACGGCCCAACCTGGCCTCAAGATGGCCTAAGACGGCCCTATAGGCCCGCAAGAGGCCTCCAAGACGGCCCAAGAGCCCTCCAAGACGTCCTCCAGGAAGGCCCGAAAAGGTCAAAATCATTGAATTGCCTCAGGTGTTTCAAGGATTGTGGCTTTTGCTCCTTTTCAGCTCTCCGATGGCCCAAGACGGCCCAAGCGGCTCCAAATATCGACCCAAGAGCGCCCAATAGGCCCCCAAGATGGCCCCATGACAGCCCAAGAGGCCTCCAAAACGGCCCCCAAGACGGTCCAAGAGGTCCCAAGACGCCCTGGCCTCCAAGACGGCCACGATGGCCTCCAAGATGACTCCAAGACTGCCAAGAAGGCCTCCAAGACAGCGAAGATGGCCCTAAGATGCACCCAAGACGGCCCCAGATGGCCTGAAGATGGCCGCCTTCGACTGCCCAAAAGGCCCGCCAGAGGCATCCAAGACGGCCCAAGACCTCTCCAAAACGTCCTCCAGGAGGCCCGAAAGCTCGGAAACCACCTGGTCCGATAGCTCGCCCGACTTGGTGTTCCCCGAAGGCCTTCGAAACCCACTCGGGGAACGCGTGGCCCGATAGCTTGGCCAAGCTCAAACCCAACTTTCGGGCACGCAGGCGCTTCCAAAAAGGCAGGGGGCGGCGATTCGCCGTAGGCGTCTTCGATCCGTCGCCCCCTGTTGGCTTGCCACAGGGGTGCCAGACCCTGTCGATGTTGGTTTCTGGGGCTTCGACCCGTCCCGCCGGCAACCCGAAAGGCCGCACAAGGCAGCATAAACCACCCCAACGTCCACAAAATATTCTCCAAGACGGCTCAAGATGGCCTCTGAGATGGATGGTCACGTTGGCCCAAGATGGCCTCCAAAATGGCCTCCAAGTCGCCAAACATTGTCAGAGATGGCTTCCAAGACGGCCCGAGAAAGTCCAAGATGCCGTCAAGTTCGTGCAAGAAGCCTCCAAGACAGCCCAACCTGGCCTCAAGATGGCCTAAGACTGGCCAAGAGGCCCCCAAGAGGCCTCCAAGACGTCCTCCAGGAAGGCCCGAAAGGGCAAAAATCATGTATGTTCCTTAGGTGTTCGAAGGATCTTGGCACTTTCTTCTTATTAGCTCTCCGACGGCCCAAGACGGCCCAAGAGGCCCCAAACATCGTCCCAAGAGCGCCCAAGAGGCCTTCAAGATGGCCCCTTGACAACCCAAGAGGCCTCCAAGAGGGCCCCAAGAAGAGCCCAAGACGGCCCAGGATGGCCCCGAAGACGCCGAAGATGGCCTCCAAGATGCCTCCAAGACGGCAAGGCCTCCAAGACAGCGAATATGGCCCCAAGATGCACCCAAGACGGTCCTATATGGCCCGAAGATGGCCTTCGACTGCCCAAAAGGCCCGCCAGAGGCCTCCAAGACGGCCCAAGAGCCCTCCAAGAGGTCCCCCAGGAAGGCCCGAAAGGGTCAAAACGGCCTTCAGACGGCCCAGATGACCTTCAAGATGCCTCCAAGACGGCCAAGATGGCCCAATTGAGCCCCAGAGTGCCTCAAGAGGCTCCCATGAGGACTCTCCTCCCTTCCCCTTTGTCCTCACCCTCCTCCTCTTCCCCAGCGTCTTCCACCCGTTCCCCGACAGCTTTCCAAACCGATTCGGGGAACACCCGTTCGGAAACATGGGCAAGGATACCTTCGGCCAGCAGGCCCCAAAAAACGCGCCAACAAGCCCGCAAGAGCCCCCAAGGGGCCCCGACCGCGCCCACTCCTCGCTCTCCCCTTCTTCCCCGTCCTCCCCCACGTGCTCCCCGTGGGCTCTCCCAACCGATTCGGGGAGCACGTGGTCTGGTAGCTCGGCAGGGCGCCGGCCTCAACCTTCGGCCACACAAGCTTTTTTGGTTGATCTGCGGGGCGAGAGCGAGCCCCTTCCGCGGAAAGCTCCGCGGGACGCGCACAGCTCTGATTGGCAGAGAGAGGGCGGGAGCAGGCGGGGCCTCACGCGGCCGGAAGCGGGGGAAGCCCGGGGATCAGGCGGTGCCGAACGGGACGTGCAGGAGAAGGTACGACTCCGTTCGGCCACACGAGGCGCCTCCGAAAAGGCAATGGGGGCGGCGGCGACTCGCCGCGGGCGCCTGCGGCAGACGCCTCTCCTGCCCCCGGGGACGAGCGCCCCCGTCCTGGGAGCAGGGGCTCGAGCGGCGCGCCCCCCGGGGCAGGCCCGGGGACGTCGGCCACATATGAAAGGGGCCCTGGGACACACAAATACATACACACAAATAAAGATAGTCTCCATGTATTCCTATATTTTCTGGATGTTTGTCTTCCCGCCCAATTCCCATATTTTCCCATATTTTCTGGGGAATCGACGATTAATTGCGTCTGTGTGTTTTTCCCAACCCTCCTGCGTTGGGTTCTCGTTTTGAATAGAGCACTGCTCGCGCGTCTCCTTTCTTCCTTCCTTCCTTCCTCCTTCCCCCTTGCCTTTTGCCTCGCTCGTCGCTGCGTGCCAGCTGGGGGGCTGCGATCTGTGAAACTGTCGCCAATTTCGAGGCCTGCTGGGGGGCCCAGCACAGTGGGTACTCACAGCAGACTCGAATTGGACCTCGCCATCCCTGGGGGGCTGCGATCTGTGAAACTGTCGCCACTTTCGAGGGCTGCTGAGGGGCCCAGCACAGTGGGTACTCACCGCAGACTCAAATTGGACCTCGCCATCCCTGGGGGGCTGCGATCTGTGAAACTGTCGCCACTTTCGAGGGCTGCTGAGGGGCACAGCGCAGTGGGTACTCACCGCAGACTCAAATGGGACCTCGCCATCCCTGGGGGGCTGCGATCTGTGAAACTGTCGCCACTTTCGAGGGCTGCTGAGGGGCCCAGCACAGTGGGTACTCACCGCAGACTCAAATTGGACCTCGCCATCCCTGGGGGGCTGCGATCTGTGAAACTGTCGCCACTTTCGAGGGCTGCTGAGGGGCCCAGCACAGTGGGTACCACCGCAGACTCAAATGGGACCTCGCCATCCCTGGGGGGCTGCGATCTGTGAAACTGTCGCCACTTTCGAGGGCTGCTGAGGGGCCCAGCACAGTGGGTACTCACCGCAGACTCAAATGGGACCTCGCCATCCCTGGGGGGCTGCGATCTGTGAAACTGTCGCCACTTTCGAGGCCTGCTGAGGGGCACAGCGCAGTGGGTACTCACCGCAGACTCAAATTGGACCTCGCCATCCCTGGGGGGCTGCGATATGTGAAACTGTCGCC